AAACTGGGGTCATTAGACGTACTGGTCGCAAGATTGCAATGTAGGCAGCTACAAAGGCAGGCAAACAAACTTGCTATTAAAAAACACGCTCATCTCCGTTCAGGAAGACCGAAGAACTACCAAAACGGCGTCCGCATACTGAAGCAAGCGATTGCAATGTAGGCAGCTACAAAGTGAGGTAAACAGGCTTCATGACCACAAACTTGCTATTAAAAGGCACGCTGATCTCCGTTCAGGAAGACCGATTAACTACCAAAACGGCGTCCGCATACTAGGTGAAGCAAGCATAAAGAAAGTGGACCAATAAAAGCCGAAGAAGCCTGTAACAACCATACTGAAACTATGCAAGTACATCGACTGCTGAGTACAACAGAACTCCAGAGTTACAAAGCTCAAAACTGCGCAAGAAAACAGAAGAGAAGCTTGTCAAGGAAACATTGGAGCTTGAATCAAATGGCTGACTCAACTGAACTGGAAAATGTCTTCAGCCAATAAATCAAAGTGCCAAGATGAACGGAAAAAGGCATCCGATTAACCTACCAAACGCAGAGGAAGGAGACGGAAAAGTGCAGGCAACCAACCAAGCATAGGCAGCTCGAATCACAAGGTAAACAAACTGGCAACGAAGCAGCCAAAAGACAGAAAAAACTGCCAAGAAAATCGAGTCAAGGCGGTGCAAATTGCGAACCATCCAATTAGAGTAGCGAATAAATCTACCGAAAGAAAGATCCTAAAGCAGCCAATCGAAAGCAGGGAATTCGGACCACAACACAGTGTAAATCACAAACGGACAAATGGAATTACTATAAGGTTGTTTCCCAATAGGCCAGTCTTGCCGAGGTCATCAACCACTCTTCAAGAAACTAGATAAACGTAAGCAGGTCTGGAGGTACTACCCACTCCAGCATGCATTGATGATATCCTTTGGCAGGAAATTTCCAAGCCGGACGAACAAGTCAACTGCCAAAGGAATTTGCACTCATCCTGCATATTTCCACCGGAAAATTGCCATATGGCTGTCAAAAGGACACTGTGTTCCATTTGCTTTCCAAACGAACAATTTTCTCACAAAGTGAATGAAAACGGATTGCCAACTAACAACTTATCTATGCTCAAAGATGAAACGATAAGCAACCAGCCTATGCCTAAACGACTCCCACTCCCTTGAACTGAGGCCTCTAGTCCGACCACAAAGATAATTATCAAACCTTGCAAAGAGCACTTCCCAGCATTAGTTTCTAGAAAGCCACTGGCTACCAGCCCGTTTAATGGACACTGGTCTACTTGAAAAACATGTTCAGTTTTTGTAGCCACACTGCTCTCAAATATTTCTTACGAATCACATTAATAACAAGTGCTGACAAGCGAACAGGATTATTGTATCAGATAGACATACCTGTGACAAGCTAACACCCTCCCCGTGTTTTCGCGTCTTTCTTTCCTTGGTTTTGCTCTGCATGACTTGCTACCGATTACCAAGTTAATGTGCAATCCAGCTTCCTCAAACCTGTGCAGTCGCTCCGGTTCTCCTACACAAGTAACTTCGAAGTAATTGCAGTAGAAAGGGCCGAGATCTCGGACTGGGTGACTAACGCCGAATGGAGTGAAGCTTGCTGCAGACTCAGTCACACGCCATCAACCTAACTGAGATACACGCACCGACCGTAGAGGTGTGTTCAAAAGCACAAACAGGTAAAGTAATAATGATAACCTCGTGTTATGACTGGTCGAAGTCGAGACCATTCAATGGCTTCAACCGAAATCGTCTAAAAGGTCATAGATTATTGCTAGTCATAGCACTCCACGGTAAAGCAGGCTACTTTGTTGCAGCCACTCAGGAGATCACGCGTTGCAAGCACATCCAAATCACGTGACAATTCCTGTCCCACTTGCAACCTTAGCCGACAACATGTACACTACAATTCCCCATCCATTTGTGTTTACTCGGCTAGCCCCTGCGTCACGCGCCAGGCTTACGAACCACATCAGGTCGAGAGTTGTATTCATGTTCGTGCAACTATCAAGCACGACTGGACACCCCTCTCTTCACACTGCACACAATAAATGGGCGTGCAACTCGGCCCAAAACTACACTTGCGCACACAGGGTAGGTCTCCACAAGTCTCCACGGGCAGCTACGGAACACGTGTAGCAGCTATACTGCAGAGAAGACCCGTCCAGCGTCCGGAACTTCATTCTGGAACTCTCAACATTTGTCTTCAATCGATAAGTCGCTTTTTGGCTTATTCCTTTTTTGCATTGTACAATTTTTTTATCAAGTGCACATAACTTTTGTAGTCATCATCATTCTGGTTAATCAGACATTTATTAGTGCTTGTCACCTTCTGGTAATCAATTTAATCACCTTACAACTAGAGCTCTACCAACCTCTGTTCCGCCAGACGGAGTGTGACCTTCAGCAATCAAATTGCGCCCTTAGGGTCTGATCAAGTGATGTGTGATTGCTTGCTTGGCCCCAACTTTGTTCAGACTATTGTCTGTAAACCATGGTTTGGAATGTACCCAACCAAACGGCCGAAACAGGCTACACGAAAGAGCATTGTTGACGTTGTTGTTGTTCTTAATTACTCAACGAATAGTTGTCATGGTTTCAGCAAACAATCCATATGAAATTGAAGGAGCTGCCGACTTGTCAGCCCTCGCGTAGTCGTACACAAAGCCCTGTAATCACGAAGAGGTTCCGCGCCATTTCAATATAGCAAAATATGTAACCCACTCGGTACTATTGACTGAATGATTGCTTACAAGTTCACTGGTATCTAGTGGATTCGTACGCCCAAACTGTCCCAGTGAGAATGCTTGAGGCATGTAAACAAGCAAACACCTTTGTGGGTCACCAAAACATTTGACCTGCTTCGGTAATCCAGTACAAATACGGAAGATTCATCAGGAATCTTATTGGTGTGAGAATGATTGCAATCGCAGAGCGGGCTGAAGTTAACTGGTTTGCATCACAGCATCACCTGGAAGCGAGATGGCGCAAGTGGTTAGAGCACGAATTTACTGATCGAAAGGTTCGTGGTTCGAACCCGAACTCTGTATATTGACTTCGCCTCTATTGGGCTCGGGAGGCTGGCAGTATCTCAGCCGTCGCGCCTCCTTCGGTTGGCGTGGCAGTTAGGCACCGAAACGGCGTTGCAGCTGTCCACCTGTTCAAATACAATCGATTTTGGGGCAAAGTGGGGAAACAAAACACGGGAGGACAATTAAAATCAAGGTCGTTGGCCGTCATTGTGATCTATCATGACTGACAAGACAAGACTGGCCACGAATTTAAGTCGTTCAAATGGATGAGGCTCGAGTTACCAAATCGATACTGCCTGGTAGAAAGCGATTTGTGTTTCGACCATTTGAAATCCTCAAGGTATCATACAGAAGAGGTTTGTCTGTTTCAATTTATATGGGGTTTCATCTGAACTGACACATCACAGTTCGTAGCTTGATCGTTTCAGGCCCACCTGAAGACTGGAACAACCACGCTGTAGTTTGGCACTTTAAACATTCGCGTGCAACATCTATTGTTAACTGTTCGACCGATCAGTAGTGTGATTCACTCGCAAGTAGACAGGATACACGACCACCCATTCTCGACTTGCGGAAAACACTACATGAGGTCACGTGACTGGCTCCACAATCGACGACTTTTCGGATAAGGGTTTCATTTATCCTGTGAAATTGTTCTTCCGTCGAACTACTTACAATCTGATGACAGGTTGGTGATATTTAAAATTTTTTTTAGAGAGAGACAAACCTTTCCGGGCTTTCGACGTTTCACTCGCGACGACTTTCAACATTAACTTACACTATGATTTCACACGTTAGCCTTATGTAGATAAATACATTAAGTTGAGCCCATTGGATAAAAAACACTAGTTTTTGGCGAAATATACTCGGCAGCAAACCACATTGACGTTGACGTGTGTAAACATAAGATTCGAATGCATTCCCGCCTTTCTGTATTCTTCAGCTCAATGTCGTCTCACACGAAATTCACGATTTCCGGTTGTATTTTCTCAAAGTGATGCGTTACGCAACAGGTTGCCAAAAACTACTCAGCAGACTACGATCGTGTATAGACGTGGTACACTACTCATAAGGTCGTTGAAAATTCTTCGACAGCCCACAGTCGGTCTCGCCCTTCTTGGGGCTCATCAGTCAACGAGTTCCCCTGAACCTTATGTTCTACTTGAGACCAATCGTGACAGCGACAAAGTTGGCTTGTCCCCTGTTCAACTTTTCAGCAACCTTATGAGTAGTGCATTACGGATACACATGTATCACAATATCTCGAATATCGTAGCGACCGAAACATGAGGCGGCCTGATACTGCACATTCAGTTGCCTGGAAACATCACAAACGAGAGATTCATCTGGGTCTCGGGTGAGTCTCGCGCAAAACCAAATTTGTTTGCAAATGAGTGTATTTCGCCAGCCAACGATCGAAATGTCATGCACGAGAGATTCATTTGACCCTCCAGTTAACAGCAAAGCAGTTTATGATTAAGTATATTCCCCCAATCGTGGACACTTCAGTGTTTCAGTGGCGCTTGGAGACTACGCCTACCCGACGGGCTCCGTGGGTTGCGGAACTGGTAGTACACAGGCAAACACTAAGCATACAAATGTCATGTTATGTCAAGAAAATACATCTGTGTTTCTTTGCTATTCTTCTCTAACATATACAGTTGTTTTTCGCAATTTCTGCAGTTTACATGGAGAAGCTCGTTTGAACTTATAGTCTCTACTCAGATGCGAATATTTTTGAAACCTGCGCTTTCAATCCATGTTACGTTGGTTCAGGTATGATTGCCGCATAAAAAATGAGCTTAAATATCGTTGTTGTTCGGAAAATACGTCGTTGTAAGAAAAACTTGCCTTTGAGAAATACACTCATTTGAAAATCAATTTGGTTTTCACGAGAGACTCAAATGAATCTCTCGTTTATGATAGTCTACAACTGAATGTGCTACACACAGGCCGCCTCATGTCTCAGTTGGAACGATATTTGAGATATCGCAATATATTTTCATAAAGGCAAGTTTTTTTTCATGAAGGGATCTACTCACAAGGTTGCTGAAAACTCATCGGCAGCCCACGGCCGGTTTCGTCCTTCCCGGGGCAAAATAAATGTATTTTGCTAACATATCGTAGCGACTGAAACATGAGGCGGCCTGGTGCAGTACATTCAGTTGCCTGAGGACATCATAAACGAGAGATTCAGCTGGGTTCCAGGTGAGTCTCTCGAAAGAACCAAATTGGTTTGCAGATGAGTGCATATTCGCTAATTTCGTGCAATTTGGTTTCAAGTAGAACATAAGGTTGCCGGAAACGCGGGGACTGCGCCCACCTGATGAGTCCCAAGAAGGGCGAAACCCGTCGTGGGCTGTCGAAGAACTTTCAGCAACCTTGTGAGTAGATCCCTTCATGAAAAAAACTTGCCTTGTTCTGTATTAACCCAATGGAAAATATTTTTTTAAACGCTCCAGCGTTGGCACTCTTTCGCTGCCTAGCTAACATGCCATCTGAAGGAGGCGAGAGAACTGAAGTTGCCAGAGTTTAGACAAGAGCAGTCGAGTTGCAGTGATGGAGTTAGAATCACGAACATTCTGGCCAGTGAGTTCGCGTCCTTGGGTAGAAGCCTCTCCGCATATTCTCCCACGATAACTCTCTAGTCGTCTGCATCTAGAAATACTCGGCATCCAACTTTCCGTATTTTATGTTTGATTTTGCATGTGCACAATCGTGATATGTTCATTCGAAGAAGTAAATAACATCGTGCTTACAAGATCTTATCAACCAAACTTTCACAGGATATAACCCTTCCACAATGTCATGTCGTTCGAAAGTCTTAAAATACATGCGGTGCCGATTTAAGCGGTGTGTATTACGCAATCTTTTAATTGATTCAGTTCTGTCATTCACGCTTGCCTCGCGTATCAGATGTCCGGGGTTCAAACCCCCGCAGGGCCGTGGGATATAGGCTGCTAATGAGCCCTGATGAGAGCAAAACTCGAGTCCAGTGCTTCCCTTTGGTGTGGACTCACCGGAATAATTACGCCAGAACAGGAACACGGCCGTCCAAACGAGAGTGCTGTGGTTATGAAAAAAATACCTATCCCGCAAAATCCCAAAACTGTAACCAAAAATTTGCCCAGTGGGTTTCGAGCGTGTGCCATGCTAACTGACTGGGAAGTCCTGACTGGCGGATCAATCAATCGTCACAACCAGGACAGTTACTGGGTCGTCGTTCGATGGGTCGGGCACACCAATCACATCGCTCAAATGTGAACAAGTTCGCCTGTTCAGATGTGATAATTCAGATGCGTCCAACGTGCGTTGGTGGAGTAGTGGTTACACGCTCGCTTCGCATGTCAGATGTCCGGGGTTCAAATCCCCGCACGGCCATTGGATACGCACTGCTGATGAGCTCTAATAAGAGCGAAACTCGTGTTCAGTGCTTCCCTTTGGTATGGACTCACCGGAATAATTACGCCAGAACAGGAGGACAACCGTCCAAACGAGAGTAGTGTGAACATGAACATTCATAAATCATTTCAGCTTGGATTAAGCTAGTCGAATAGGGAAGTCTGTACCACGCTGAGTGTCCACGCTTTCTGAAGTCAAGGAGTTCGTGATTGCAAGACATTTGATGTAGCGGCATGCTTCCGCTTTCTTGTCATCCGGATAAACTTGAAAATGAACGCTTTTCAACTTTTCAATGTCATCTGGGGCAACATTCTCGCATTAGGCGCATAGTCATTAGTGAACGTGAGCGTTTTCGCGTGTCTTTCTGATTTTTTAGCCAATGTGTCGTGATACCTTACTGTCCATCATCTGGGTTAGATTTATTGACACGGATCACACGTTCGTCCCAGTCGCGTGCGGATGTGGCCCTCTCCAGTCACCCGAGTCCAGTTCTGCCCGCTGACCTTGCAGCCTGAAGATGGGGGGTACTCCTAAATCTTCAAACTGTTTTTGGTGTTGCCAGTAACTAGTCGGTATTCCTGGTCGTGGCTTCGGTACTCTCCCTCTCGTGACATCAA